TAATTTCTTATCGTCTTCTCATCCAACAAATCATTTTTCCAGATAATGATTTTCCACAAACTCTGTTTCCTCGCATACTTTGTTTCCGTGGCGACAGCTACCATCAAATGCTCCGGACGACATTCCTGCTATGCCGAATCGCCAGAATGCGATCCCAACACTGATTGTCAAACCGTTCTCCGTTTCGATCCATCTGGAAATGTGAACATTTTCGTGCGCAATATGTCAGTCACCGACTACGTCTCCATTGTCACCGATCGAGACCTTCTCAACACAATGGAGTTCTTCGTTTGTGTTCCGTTTGCTGGACAACGTCTTCGTGGATTGGGACGATTCGGACAGACTATTCTGATCAATCAACAGGTGAGGAAGGGGGATGTGTCAATTTGAAAGCATCGTCAATTACAGAATCTCACCAACGTTGTGGAACAATTTGAAACCAATTCTTTCCGATGCGTGATCAATCAAGACGAACTCAAACCCGAGTTTTGGTTGAACAAAAATTTCATTGTTTCTCGAGGACGATTCCAACAGTTTCTGAGAGTGAATGAAGGTTGCAAGTTGTACAAATTGGAGCACGAAGAAGACTTGGAGAGCGAACAGTTTTTCCCAACGGCTTATAGAACACCGAAAGCATTGAAGAAAACCGAAATTGCGTCAACAAAGTTCGAAGATGTCATTGAAATTTCTAAAATGCTGCAGAATGTGAAACAAATGTTTGTGAATGCTGTGAAGCAGGAGAAAATGGACAAAGAGCATCTTCATAAGAAATCCGGCTCGAATGGTCACAAGCGTTATTATCCAAAGAGCGACTCTTATGAATCTGACAAGGATACAAAGCAGAATAAAGCAAAACTTATCAGAGAAAGTGATGATAGTCGTCAGGTGGGATTTAAAAAATATTATCCATTCCTCTTATCTTTTTTTTCAGGACAAGTCTCGCGATGTCATTGTTTCAAAAGCAAGAAGCCATAAAAAATCTCACGAAACAAAATCTCACAAGAACCAAACGATTTCTAACAAATCTGAAGAGGTTATGAGCTCAAAAATGAAGCCAGTTGCTAATGATGCCGATTTGGATACAAAAGTTTACGTTCGAATGACTAAAAAGCAAATGTACACGTTCATTGATGGGTTGGAAGAAGGAAAATCTGCTGGAAACGAAACGTGAGTTCTAAAGTTGCATCTGAGGTCCAAGTTACAAACAATGTCAGGGATCTCTTGAAATCCAATGCATCTACCTTAAACTCTGAAGTCGAGGAGCCAAGAAACAGTGCCACGGACGATGAAATCGTTTTTGTGTTGATGACCAAACGTCAGATGCATACCATGATTGGCACGAAAGCCGAGCATCAAGTCTCTGGTACCAAAATGTAAGTTCATGATTGATTTCAACTTCACAAAAGAACCTGAATACATTGTAAACCCAAATTTGATGGAATTTCAGGATAGGTTTAGAATATCTTATCTGGAAACTTCTTGAAATTTTAGAATTTTTTTGCCAGTTTCAACCAAATTATATCAATTACAGTACTAAGAGCACGTATCTTAGAATTTGAAAAAAAATTTTTTTGAAAAAGAAACTGATATAACTCGGCAGAAACTGGCAATCAAGCTC